ATGATTACTTGAACAGTTATTTTGTGTACAGTAATTTGACTCTAGATACAAGGTGACTCTAGAAGAAAGGAACAGAGGGCACACTACTTATATGCTGGTAAACAAGCACTAGTACTGGGATTATTTTGTGCAGCTTGAGCTGAAATAGGTTGAATGATTAAAAATTTTTGAAGAAAATCTTTTGAGATGCAATAAACTAATGTAGATATTAGGTTATGGTCTAGAAATTATTTGTTTGCATCTCCCAAGCCAACACTTCACCAAAGTGATCTGTCACTCTTCTTATACAGGTAGCATAATTCGTTGCATGAGAAGGCTAGAAGAATTGCTTCGGCAAATGTGTCAGGCAGCAAAAGCAATTGGAAACACAGAGCTGGAAAATAAGTTTGCAGAGGGTAGGTATTTCATTTCAAGAATAAGTATTCTGCAAAATATGAGGCAAGCTTTGATGTTCTTTTTTCTGGGGCTTGGGAACATAAACCTCTGTTGTTGACTTCAAGGCAAGGAGTAACATTGCTCTCCCTATGCGATAACACCCATGTATGCTAACCCAGTGCTACATAAGAAGTCAGGCTTTCTAAGTGTGTCTGAAAATGAACACACAGTGCCTTAAGTCCCAAGTCACTTCCTCTGGTACTGCAGACTGTAACGGTGTTCGTAGCAGAAGTGTTTGTTTCAGTTGTAGTGGTAGGTAATGTTTTCCTTTTTTTTTTTTTTACAGGTATTACAAAAATCAAGAGAGATATTGTGTTTGCAGCGAGCCTTTACCTGTAACAGAGTTCATAAGCTTCACATGCCATCTTGAGTCAAGACATTGTTTTAATTGTATTTAAACCACAATAATTTCAACAAGGCATGTACAAACAGCAGTGTACATAATGAGTGTTACCACATTCATAATAAAAATTTACAGTTTTACTATCTTTTGGTATTGTTTTTTTTTAAAGCAAGAGCTTGATCCAACAGCAATGTAAAGTTTAGATATACAGAACTGTTAGTGTTACTTATATACAGGTAAAGTGAGCATCCAAGAGCAGCAGCAGTCCTTCAAAGGCATTTACTTATATTACATAATTAGACTGGTGAAATTCTTTTCCTTTCAGAGACCAAGACAGTTGAAGTAAGTGAATCATCCTTCATGGTTGATGATTGCTGCCAAAGTGATTTCCATTTGTTGGTGTCTCATGCAGGGTTGTATGGGAATCTTCTTTTGGTTGAAATGTACATCCTCTCACTTTGAAGAAGTCAGACACATACACAACCTGAATGAATAAAGTAGTGTTAATCTCCTCTTTGAAACAAAGTATTTACCTGTTTTTATCCATTAACATGAAGATAAATTCCACGCTTAATATTAAAAAGCAAAATCTAAAGAGATTTAAACAACAGAGAGGTGGAGGTGGTTCAACAGGCACTGCTTTTCTCTTAAGTATCACTTAAGTCACATTTCTCCAGAGCTGTTTAAAACAGTCTTCGCTCACAGAACTCCCTCCCTGATACACATCTCACCCACAGCCCCTGTGTCTGCTGGACCAACTCTGCCTCTGTTATCTTTTTCTGAATTCCTTTAAACATGCATACCACGTTGGGTTACTGTAGTTGTCTGTTTCCATCCTAGTTGGTTGAAAAGCTCTTAGGCTCGAGCAATTGTATTTTGTGTAACAGACAAAACAGCCCCATCTCATCACTGGCCCAGAGCCTGCCTCACTATCCTCAGAATTACTGCTGCACCTTGTTTAAGAATTCATCCAGTCCAAGAAGTCATTTTCCTTCTCCAGCAGGGTTCAAAAGGAAAGACAGGTGTGCTTTCATAGAATCACAGAAGGGCCAGGGTTGGAAGGGACCTCAGGCATCATCAAGCTCCATCCCCTCTGCCACAGGCAGGGCCACCAACCTCCCCATTTAATATCAGACCAGGCTGCCCAGGGCCCCACCCAACCTGCTCTTGAACACCTCCAGGGATGGGGCATCCACAACCTGACATCCAACCTCAATCTTCCCTCCCTCAACTTAAAACCATTTCCCCTTGTCCTGTCATGATCTACCCTTGCAGAGAATTGAATCCCCTCCTGTTTGCAGGCTCCCTTTAGGTCCTGGAAAGCTGCAATAGGTCACCCCACAGCCATCTCTTCTCCAGGCCGAACAAGCCCAGCTTGCTCAGCCTGTCTTTGCAGGGGAGGTGCTCCAGCCCTCTGGTTGTCTTTCCTCCAAACAGGGCTGCCCACCAGTCTGCAGTTCTGCCCAAACATTTGATACACTCGTACACAGTTCAGGAGTTACTTACAATGAGTATAGCTACGAGTGCGCCTTGGATGAGCCCTGTTAAAACATCACTCCAGTGATGTTTGTAGTCAGAAACACGGGACAGACCCACATAAATGGATGCAGCAATCAGACCAAACTGTATGGTAGGACGTACGAGTCTTGCCCAGTCTCCTTTCATTCTGGCCTGCAGATAAAGCTAAGAAAAGAAAATAAATTGTAAAATATTGTAGACACAGAAGCAGTTACACAGAGTTGTCTCATGTTTGTGTAAAGCGTTGAGGTGAAACCTGTGGTTGAAGACATTTTAACATCCAGCAGTGCTGCGCTCCCAACAGTATACCATGGCAAAGGTTTGATAGTTGGAGTTCATGTTTTACATAAACTGCAAACTGCTATATTGATGTAATGTACAACTTACTGTACTTCCACCGAAGTAACGGCCTTTTAAGGCTTAGAAAGAACCCCATGGAAATTTAATTGCCACATTGATTACAGTTAAGTAGATTTCTTATCAAGAGTAGCTGGCAACTGTACAGTCTTTCAAAAGTAGGGAGCCCCATCTCACTCCAACTGGAAAGCACATTAGCACCTTGAGTAAAGTTCACAAGATTCATGAAGTTCGCATGATCTATGACCAGTTTCTAAGATTTATTCCCAATCACATTCCTCAGCTGTCACTGGTTTAACTTCACTTGATCTATTCCAAGTCCTTTTCTACCAGCATATTAGCCATGCTCCCAGTCCGGTATACAAACGGATGCATGCAACTCCCATTCTTTTTCTCTCTCCTCCCTTAGTGCTACCTATCTTATGTGTATTTCTGCTTTCGTTGTGTTGCCCCAGGCTCATGCTATGACAACCCAAAGACAGCAAAGACCCTGCTTTTGTTTCCTTGTCTGCTCTGCCTAGGACAAGACCTCTTATTTCAGCTTCAAGAGGAGCTTCTAACAGCTCCATAAACATCACAGATTTTATTCTACAAGTTGATCCTGTCACACTAAAAAAAAAAAAAGCACAGAGTTACTGTATTTTCTGAGAAGAACAATTCGGTTGGAAATTATATTTAAAGCGAAGTACATCTTTCACTACCATCTAGGAACTCCAGGTCTAGTACAAACCTTAATTGACAGCTTCTATGATTTTGAAAGACTAACCTAAAACACAGACTTAAGGCACTGAGACAACATCATAAGCTCTTGATAAATCCCTTAGCTGACAGCTTCAAAAGCCAGGGCTACTTTCTAGAAGCACTGCTTTCACAATGTAAATATCAGCACAGAGCAGGTAGTGTAGATACAAAGGTGCTACTTTCCAAAGTTAAACATTTGGGGAATGGTTGGTTGGTTTCTCTGAGTAACTTGCATCATGACTTTGGCATGATGACTTTTCAGCTATAAATGGGCTGTCAGAAAGATCAATGCTATCCATAACTACTTCTCTTTAATAGCAAGGTCAGGATGAAATCAGACTCTGAGGAAGTTACAGCTAAGCCTGAACTGGAAAATTTTTTCTTTCAAGTAGCAGCGCTTGGCATATTTCTGGGGATCTTAATTTTACCACAGAGGAATAAAGGGAAGATTGTTGAGCCACTTCAAAAGTCAGTTGTCACAACGTTCTTCTAACAAAAGGTGTTTTAATGGTCCTGTGTTAACACTACTCTGGGATTTATGAAGAGCAGAGCAGAGGTGGGTCCAGGCAGAACACATTGGTAGTCTGCAAAGAGCTGGCTGTGCGTCCGACAATGGGTGTTCTTTCCCCTTTCCCACTGAATTCTGCTGAAGACAGCAAGAATTAGCTTGCTGTAATATTATTTTTTTTTCCCCCATGTAAGCATTTCTGGTAGTTGGCAGACGTACATTTATTAAGAGTTATGCAACTGCAGATACTTGGGAAACTGCATTTACCTCTCAAGAAATAAAATGAGGCAAGCTCACAGACATAATAAAATAGTGTTTGAATCTCCCGTAAGCAGCATGTATTCAGAGCACGTCTCTGATTTTCCTCCTGCATGACAAAGCAGCAAGCAAAAAGGGACATCTACATGACAATCTCATTTCTGAACTGAGAGCAGTCTCAATCAGAATTCAGATCCGGAGCTTCATGCAAACCTAAGCATCAACTCCAGTAGCCATACAGAAAATCCAGATCCCTCTTGAAAACCCTGCTAGAGGATGATGGATTTACACCACTCCAAAACAAAGTATGTTACTGGTGAGAAATCACACCACAGAGAAGCAGGATGACTGACTGAGGCTGTGTGTAGTTTCAGAGTAACAGCTGCTCTTCTGGTTACAATTGGATTTTCTGATACTGCTCATTAGATTGAGAGTCATTTCTTCTATAAGCCAGCTGCTGCAGTGGCAGATTCCATGTTATTTTTAAACAGGTAATTTCACATGCACATTACTGAGTAGGCTCAGACAGTCATGCTCCCCCACAGACTGTTACTACAACCATGACTCAGAAAGACTGCAGCAACAAATCTGGCCTGAAGTAGGTCAGTAACACTGGAGTTGAAAATAAAGTGGTCAAAAGAGAAAGGAGTTTTTACCTCTTGACTATATTTCCTGTAAAAAGCTTCATGCCAGAAGCGTGTCTGAGTGCTGCATATAGCACTATGCACATCATGCATGTTTGTCCTGGCACTACACCAACAGAGCTATTTTGACCCTGTTGACTAACACTGAAGATCATTTACAGAACCCCTCCCTGTATACACGGCATGCCTCTGGGCTTTTTGAACCTGGTTTTGCTCCTCTTTTAAGCCACAACACAGGCAAAGAAGAGAAACAGAAAGAAATCCCTGCCATTCCTCCCTCCCAGTTCAGGTCTCTGGGAATGAATAAGCTTTCTTTTTCATCAGCAGAAGCAGGAGGAATGTCAGGAAGCTTCATCTTGCTAATAGGACTGTAAAGCGCCTTGCAGTCCTTCCTTTGTTGTTGATAAAATATTCAGGAGCCTGGAAGAGAGTGCAACATCCAGAGCTATTCAGGTAGGACTGTGCCTCTGTGAGCTGCAGCTATTTACCACACCATCCATCTTCTCTGCCATCCTAACAATCTCTCTGATCTTTCAGCCGCGCTACTCAGCCATGATCCAATGATCCATTTCTCTTCCCCCCTCCAGTTTCTCATGGTTTGGTGTGGTTTTTTATTGGTTTGTTTTTTTTGTTTTTGTTTTTTTTTAAACTGCACAAACAGATTTCAGAAACATTCCTGAGATAGGATTAAAAGTAATCACCAGCGTTTCTTTCACAGGCTAATGCTTACTGTATAATGAAAATATGTTCTCTACACCACACACATCCTGAACACAAGTTTCTTCTTAATCTATGGTCTGGTACTCCATTTCTAAAAATACACACAGGAATGAAGAGAAACTCGCAGCCACTTTGTGGCTCCTTGCAAGAAGCCACAGACATGAATGGAAGGGTCTCTGCAACTAGAGAATTATTTGCTACTCAACATTTCTAGCATAATTTTCAAGTATTTGCTCTTTCACCAGGACAGCATTAATATACACTACACATAGCTGCCTGCCTAATTTTAAAGTGCAGTGACTATTTCCTAGACAGCCGTTTGGGGTGTAATCCATGTGGCTTCACGAGAGAACTTCCTAACAGTCAACATCTCACATCCCTACCTTAAGGCACAGAATCTTAACTCTGCTAAACCCCATTCACTTCACTAGGGAAGGCAATCTTTCAAATACTCAGTTTTAATGTTTAGAACTTATACAACATTTTTCATTTAATATCTATCTTCTGTTTTTCTTTCCAGAAGCCTGTTACATACGTTTTCCACACTGCAAAACTTTTTTTTTTTTTTTCATTAAGTCACCGCCAGTCCTCCTACAAGAAGGGGAAGGAAAATGAAGAAAACATTGTGTGTTCTTTCCCTCCTCTATTACCCCATAAAGACTTAATTTGTCCATCTATTCGTTTGTTCTGTCATCATTTGAAAGCTGTTTTATTTAACAGCATTTTAAAGTTTCCTGATGTCAAAGGGCCTTTTTAATTACGTTCCGTAAATGTATCCTACTCTGTCTCAAGGAATGAGAAGATGGGTTTCCCTTTGGAGATGCACCTATTTCTCCATTCCCCCACCCCCCCCAGCTGTTTTTGCCTCAATCCTACTATATTCATTGCATTGTAAAATTAATTTAGCAAGCCAGAAAGTACAATTGTTATCCTGGTGAGACCTCCCCAAGACATGGAAGAATCAGAACACTTCTAAATTTGCCCAAGTAAAAGAGATAAAGGTCAGTAGAAAAAGAAAAGAGCAGAAGATCAGTTTTCCTATCAAATAAGCCCAACTTAGAGACACCACAGTAGTCCTATACAAACTTCATACTTGGTCTACTTTTGGTCATCATCTATCCTCAGTTTCATGGTGTCTACCTGAGCATCAAGAAAGAGCACAATTCAGCTGATCCCTGAAATCCGAAGAGCCATGAGGAGCAGTCAGTGCTGCAGAACCCCACCATAAGGATTTTTTCCAAATCCAAGCTCTGAACTGGCGTTGCATAAAAGCTACTTCAAGCTTGTGCACACATGTATGTAGTTAGCATTATTGTTTATGGGGTGAAGGGACTGGGTACAAAGGTTGTATGTTTGGGTTTTACGTTGTTAATAAGCAAGAAGTGGAAAGAAGAATGGAAAGCACGGGAGGCACCAGCAGCCATTCAGACTTCAGAAAAAACAGCCAGCCTCAGCAATTATTACAGAGGGCCTCCAGAAGACCTGAGGAGAATAAAGGCTGAGAATCTAGGCACACTGAAGGACAGGAAAACTGTGTTTCTATTGACATATCAAATACATCCTTTCAGGACACAGTCCTCCTGTTCTCAAATGGTAAGGTCTTCCACAAGCAAGCTGTGTGGATGCACTGGCAGCCAACGTAGCAATCCATTCTCCATCTCCAGCAGTTATTAAGCATGGCCTATCTGTAGGGAGAGTAGAATCTAATAACCTTGATACAAGCTTATACAAGACAAAGTTTGCACCTGAGTATTTTCAATATAAGCAGTTATTCAACACGACCCTGCAAAAGAATGGAGGAGATGAGACCATACATTCACCCTGTTGGTTGTTTTTTTCATAACACTATGAAGCAACAAAAAGCATTAAGACATGCGGACGACCTGCCATCTATTCCGTCCCATTCCTGCTCAGCAATCCACAGACCAAGACCTCTCTGTTCTGCCTGCAATAGGCAACACAGAAGAAAAAAAGGCCTCCTGTCACATCTTCCAAGCTTTCCACTCCTGTGAAAGTATGGAGATTAATTCCACCCTTTTGCACATTAGAAGAAACTTAGAGATTACTTTGTACAAAAGCCATTTTGTATAGATCCTATTATTCTTATTTTTGCTCTGTTAGCAAAAACTCCAGAATTCCAAGCAGTATAGGAAATCCAGGAAACTGAGTAAAAATTGCAAATTCTCAGCACAAGTGTCCCAACAGGCACAAGAAGTGCTGAGAAACAGCATAGCAGTCACACAAGCTTGCACTCTGCAACCATTAATTACAAGTGCAAGAGCTCCCTTCATTCCCAAAGCACCATTTATAAACGCAGGGCTCTAGGCATCAACCAGCCAAGCACTGCCAGCAAACCAGGAATCCAGTGTGCATTTTTGTGAAGCTTGATGTTAACATGTAGTGCCTAACTGAAGTAATTTTAAAAGACATACTTGCATCCAAACAGAAAACTTACCAACTTATGAACCACAAAGGTGTAGGACAATTTAAGTAAACCATGAGTTGAGGATCTTCAAAAAGAAAAAAAAAAAAAAAAAAAAGCTTGGAGACTAAGGTCTGTTATGCCTTCCTAATGAGATTTAATTTTCTTAAATAAATAAATACTTGCCACAGAATCACTCAGGTTGGAAAAGACCTTAAAGATCATCGAGTCCAACCACAACCTAACCATACTACCCTAAACCTACCACAAGGCCATTAGATATCATTTAATAAATAGGTGTAGCTTTTGTATGCTGAAACCTAAACTACAGCCAACTAAAACCAAAATACTTTACTTACTAAATACTCTACTTATGATCCCTGTTTTATCTGCATCTCTATTTTCTTTGGAGTGGTCAGAAAACAAAGGAGAAAGAAGCCACCAATTCAGAAATATTTTTCCCTTTTTATAGAAGGAAAAGGATATAGGTTTGCACTTAGTTCCAGGTGGAGATGCACATGGGCTGCTGCTGAAACTCTATCCTCATACACTCCACCCAGGCATTCCTCCTGACACCTGAGCCACCTCTGGTGTTTGAACATGATGTGCTGGTCAGGGAACTGCTCCATTGGACAGATAAATAAAGGAAACAAAGTTTGCCAGAGGAGGGCAAAAAGGCAGCGTACATATTAGCCTAGCCTCAGACAGCTGCACACTGCCATCAGAAGGTATTTGACACTGTGAGAGCTGCCTCCCATGCAACAGAGAAACCTCCTGTCATGTACTAGTTTAGAAGGCAAACTGAAAGTACAGTCAATGTATTTTATACAGATGTTTCCACTAGACAAGTAATAATTCTTCAGTTGTTTTGTTTAGTAATCCTCCAGCTGCAGCTTAGCTGTACGTTGTAGAAATATTTACTGACATCACTTTTTACCATAAAGCAGGGAAAACTTCAACATTCTATTTTACTCCAAAAACTAACGCTTGTCCTTTTCTGATGAGAAAAGTATTTGCTTCTGTTCCTCTAGCAAACACCAAATTACAGAAGCCTCTACAGAAGGTGAACTCTGCAAGGAAATGCTTTCATCTTTGTCCTGCAGGAGCTAATTCACAATAATCTCATCACTACCAACAGCTGCAATTCCCAAGTGCACTATAGAAGTCTCTTTTCTCTTCATTTGCCTGCTACTGAGAAGTCTAAACACTGGTACTGAATGAGTACTAGGAGAGTATGCAAGTAGGAGAAACACAAGCGTCTCCATCCTTGAGTCTCATAGCATGACCAGTTATCCTTTATTTTTTAATTTGTGCTTCAAGTAACATGCTTCTGCCCAAAGCTACAGCCACACAAAATACTCTCAGTAAGACATGTCCTCCTATTCGTTTCTGAAGACCAGACAGTCCTCAACTTTCACGTGGGCAGGAACTCACTAGGGACTTCCATAGCTTAGTTCAAGTACTATTTGGGAAAGTGAAGAAACACTGCCATGCAAACAAATGTATGTAAGATACTGTGGTAAAGGCTACCAGGCCCTTATTTGGGAATTGCTGCACCCAACCTTTAATCCCAACATAAACAAGATTTCAGGAGCAACGTCTGATTTTCACATTTAGGATTATAAATATATACACACCCACCAAAAAAAAAAAAAAAAAAAACAACCAAAAAACAGCCTAAACCCAGCTTCCATTTGTGTCTAGCATGTTGCCTCTCTGCACAGGGCATAGGCTGCCAGTCCAGGTCACTGAAATACAAATTGCTCTCTAGTTCTCTTCTATAATTTCCTGCTTCCATGAGCACACAAGATCTACTTTCCCAGTGAACAGTGGAAGAGCTTGTGAGCAACTCAAGTTACCTTTCACAGATTCTTTACCCCCCCCCCCCCCCATCCCACATTACTCTCCCCAGAATAGCATGGCAGCTTGGCTGGTTCCTGAGCACAATTCCTCACCCTAGCAAGGGGCAGCCAGTAACATGCCCAGGCTACCTGCAGCCAAGTCCGACTCCATTACAGCAACTCAATCCTCAGGGCTGCAACCATTGCTGCCAACTGCAGTGGCTGCAAAAGGGTCATTCTGGCCAATGAAGATAGAGCACACATTGAACAACTTAGGTAGATTTCAGATAGAACATTTAAAACTTTTTTTTTTTTTTTAATGAAAGTCTGAAGTGTTGATGGACAGCAGTATCTACTTTCAAGGCAGGAATGATATTTTAGTAGCAGAGAAATTGCTAGGAAAGGTGTTCAGTTACACTTGTCCTCCTATCTTCCAATCCAGATAAGATGGTTTTGTTAATACAAGGGGGAATGTGTCAGCTGTTTAATAATGAAAGGAAAGGAGCAGCAAGGGGTGGGGATGCCAACATTTTGTGCTCCAGCATCTGTTACTAAATCACTAGGTTCCCAGATGCTGCTGCTGCTCAATCTCCCCATGGTTTCCACATGAAGTTGCTGTTAGCAAAAGCTTCCCAGAGATAACAGTTCAGTCTCAAGCTGATCCATCTATCTCAGCCAAAAGAATCCCAAAACACATTCACCATCATTGCTTCCTGGCCTGACACTTTACAACTCATTCCATAAGATGACAAATAAAAAGACTAAAAGCAAACAAGTCTAGCCTAAAAACTCAGGTCTTAAACTGGTCTGCCAGACACCACAGTTTTTTGACAGTAACATGGCATCATAATATCCAGTTTGGTGCTATTTAACACTTCCTAAAGATACTAAAGAGATATTCTGTATTATCTTTCTTCCAAAAATGTTAGATAAGTGTTTTATGAAACAGAATTAGTGCATCCTTCCCCTTTCCCAAAGGGATGAACGGACTGCCTCTCCCAGTGGGAAGTCTCATTGACCATAGGCACCGTCGCAGAATGGCCAGGATTGGAAGGGACCTCAAGGATCATGAATCTCCAACCATCTCATGAACCATCCTTGTGTCTATTTTCATGCCATGCAGTCACACACAGCAAGCTACGCGAGATCAATTCAGCTGAAGATTTTGCACATAAACACACTGGAAATCCAGGTACAATAACAAGATCTAAGCTCATTACAGGTTTCTGTAGAAGGCTTTAACCAGACACCAGCTTAATGAGGCTGCTATCCATTATGGATGTATTTCAGGTGATGTGGAATCAAAGATTCATTCCTTTTACTTAGACAACCTTAGCAGATGTAAGGGAGGCAAACTGCTCACAAAGGGAAATTCAGAAAGGTAGTAATAAGTAGCTGTAAATACTGGTGAGCA